TCATGATGGAAAACTTCCCTAATTGGAGGAGAGTAAAAGTCACCCAGGACCAGAAAGCACAGAGGGTCCCATTCAAGAGGAACCCAATGAGGCCCACTCCAAGACACATCATCATTAAAATGGCAAATATCAAAGACAAACAGAGAATCCTAAAGCTAGCAAGGGAGAAAGATGTAGTAACATATAAGGGAGCCCCAATATGGCTAGCAGCTGACTTCTCAACAGAAGCACTGCAAGCCAGAAGGGAATGGCAAGAAATATTCCACGTCATGAAAAGCAAAGGCCTGCAACCAAGACTGCTCTACCCAGCAAGGCTCTCCATTAAAATGGAAGGTGAAATAAGGAGTTTCCCAGACAAAAGAAGGTTGAAAGAATACAATTCCACCAAACCAGCATTGCAAAATATGCTAAAGGGACTGCTTTAAGATGCAGAAAAAGTTTCCATGAATACCCAGTTCCTTTCAGAGTTGCCAATAGTTGATATTACCAATATTTTTAATACTCATTAATCTGATTGTGACAATGATGTTATTTTAATTGTTCCTTTACTATTTGTTGAAACTAAACCTGTTTTAGTATATTTCTTGCCTATTCCTATTATTTAAAAAAAAAAGCTTTAAAAGACTTTTTGGTATTCTTTATCCATTTATTGATTAAAGGTTTGTTGAACTTTTTCCCTAAAAATAAAAAAAACCTATTACCCATGTTTTAGATGTGTTGCAAATACTTTTCTATTCTATTCTTTGTCCTTTAACTTTTTAATATGTATATTACTGTACAGTCTTAAATGCTTAATATAGTCATATTGTCAATATTTATAGCTTCTGGGTTTGAATATTTTACTTGAGGTCACGAAAAATATTAGTTCTATTTTCTTCTAAAAATCCTTAGATTCTACATATTCATTTTTAACTCACCTGAATATTTCTTGTATAATGTGTGAAATAGGGCTCGATATTTGTTTTATTTCAAGTAATAGTGGTCTATGCACCTTATTTGTTGAATAAGCCTTATTTGACCCATTGATTTGAAATATCAATTTAATCACATACTATATTATTAGACAGATATATATGTTTGTCTCTAGAATGCTCAGTATATTTCATTGATCTACTTGATTATTTCTGTGCTGGTGTCATGTTGATTTAATTGCTGAGACTTTATTATGGTTTTAAATTTTTTTAGTATTTTATAATTAACTTTGACATTTTAAAAAAATAAATAAAATCAATCTGCCTTTAAGAAAGAAAGAAAGAGAGATGGAATTCCTACCTTTTGCAACAACATGGATGGAAGTGGAGAATATTAAGCTAAGTGAAATAAGCCAGTTGATGAAAGACAAATACCATATGATCTCTCCTATAAGTGGACTTTATTTAACAAAATAAACTAACAAACAAAATAAACCACAGGCACGGAAACATGGAGCAGACTGAAAGTGATCAGAGGGGATGGGGAAAGAGGACAATGGTGGAAAGAAAGGGAAGGGACTAGACAAAGAACATGTATGAATGACCCCTGGACATGGACAACAGAGTGGGAATTGACTGTGGGAGTGGGGGGTGGGGATGGGATGAGTGGAGGGGGGTCAAGGGGTAAAAATTGAGAAAACTTAAAAAAAAAAAGGAAAAAAAAAACCTTCCCAAAGCTAGAGACCACATAAACAAATTTATAAGCAAGGAGAAAACACTCTAAAATATTTAAAGAAGGATCAGTAGACCACATTTCTTCATTCAGTATATTTTTATTTAACTTGCATACTAAATGTCAGATGCTATCCTTGGTGGTGGGGATACTGAACTAAGCAAAATAGAGTAACTTTCCTGATTTATATGCACTTAGATTTAAATTCTAGATTTAAACATTTCTTAAAGTTGACTAATATTTAGAGAAACAACGTAATAGAAAAATGGTAAGTCTCAGATGAAGAAATAAAAATGACTAAAGATGAAGGTAGGAAAATGCAGCTGAAACAGAGATAGCATTTCTTGTACATGTTTTGACACAAGTGAGAAGAATGTTAACATCTAGGTGTGGTCAAAGATAAGGCATTAGGCTCACACCATTGTTGGTAGGAATATGAATTGCTACAGCTGATTTAAATATGCTGAAATTCTAGAAATCTGTTATACCAAAAGTAAATAAATAAGAGCATGGCACTTAAGGTTGTATAAACAAGAACATACTTTTAAAAACAAACTGGAAATACTGGCATGTCCATCAGCTAGAAAATGATCAAATGAATTATGAAACTCATTCATTTGTAAGGATGGGCCAGATCTACAGGTATTGACTTAGAAAGATATCCTTGGTATGTTAAAGGCAACAGCGAGATGTACAATATGATTTATCTTGTTTCTTTAAAAAGGAAGCAAACAACAGCAGTGATAAACAACACATGCATATGAAAGAAAAAGTTCTATATATGTGTGTTTGATATGTACATAGAAATGGAGAGAGACGAGGCAGACTCATATATACTTTTGCATTTGTTAATATATACATTATTCTTTAATTAAAATAACAAGTAGAGGAACTACTAACCAGTTCGATGAAATTAATAGACTTTATTTAGTATAGTACTTTTTATTTATTGAAGTTTATTTATATTTCAAAATACTGGGTTCCATAGAGCCATGTCTTTATTATGTTTATGTAATACATAAAGTACTGTGCACTAAGTTTAGTTGATAATTATTATGATAATTCAATTAATGTAAAATAAATGAAAATCTTTTTTATTAATCTCCTTTCCTATTCACCCTTAGCATACTTGCGTGGGACTAAAATGAAAGCAAGATGTCAGCAGAGGACTAAAAAAATTGTTAAAAATACGTGGAAATTGTTTAAAGTTATGTAAATGCTCATAGGTACTTAGTATAATGAAATGATCTCTTGGGGAGGGGACCACAGAACAAGATTCCACATTTATTCTGAGACGAAGTACCTGAGTGACATGTGCCAATTTCTGAGTCCTCCTTGGGTCTTAATTTTGCCCCAGAGTTTCTTTTCTACTCTAGAATAGATTGAACCCCCTAATTTGTTTTAAGAGGTTATCCTGCAAATTATATGTATTATCCTTATGTGTGAGGAATGCTTTCTCTTACAGAGGGCTTTCATGGTGATGATTTCATTTGACTTCACAATAAGCTGGTAGGTAGGTATATAAAATGATGTAAGTGTTTATGGACTCTTCATGGACTCTCTATTATTCATTATTTAGTTTTAGCCCATTTGCCCTGCTTTTCTTCTGTTTATATTCAGTCTCTCCTTCATCGTCTCACCTGGCTTCCTCTCCAGCCTCCCTTCGCCTCTCTCCTGCATTCAGTCTACCACCACAACCACCCAAATCATATTTACCAACTTTCAGGCTGGTAATCTAAAACTGTGGATTGCTCTTAAAGAGGATTTTAATATGAATATTTGTGTGCATATATATGTATGTGTTCTGTTTTAGCTTTTTATTAAGCATAATAGGTACAGAAAAGTGCAAAAAATGTGAGTGTACAACTTAATGGTATTTCACAAAGTGAGCACAACACCCAGATCAAGAAATACAGCATTATCAGCACTGCAGAAGTCCTTCCGCCCCTCCCTGTTCTCCACCTTCATACAAATTAACCGCCGTTATGATTTCTAATACCATAGATTAATTTTGCTTGCTTTTTAACTTCATGTAAATCAAATCATATAATATTTGCTTTTCATATTTGGTCTTATATCAATATTACATTTTATCTAAGTTATTTGTCTATGTTATTGCATGTAGCAATAGTTTATTCATTTTCATTGCTGTGCAGCATTCCGTTGCATGAATGAATCACAATTTATTTAGCTGTTCTTTTGCTGATGGACATTTCGGTTGTTTTTGCCTACTAAGTATATTTCTGCTATGAACAGTGTGTTTTTTGGTGAATATATCCAGGAGTGGGCGAAAGTAGGTTTACAGTTGTTCATATGGAAAACAATACAATAATTAATAAACAATAATAATACAAGAATAAACCTATGTTTTGTATAATCACAACTGTAAACTTACTTTTGCCTACTGCTATATATGCATTTCTGTTGTATATCTACTTAGGAATGAAATTGCTGTGTTATAAGGTGTGCATATATTTAGCTTTTATAGATACTGCCATCCTGTTTTCCAAAGTGATTGTACCGATTTATATTTCCACCAGCAGTGTATGAGATTTCCAGTTAACTCTGCATTCTTACCAGCACTTAGTATTGCTTTTGTCATTTTAGCCATTGTATAGGTTTGTAGTGGTATTGAATTGTGGATTTCTTTTGTATTTCACTGATAATCAATGAGATTGAACGTTATTGTATATTCTGTAGTAAATTTAGAGATCCTTTTATGTGAAGTGCCTGTTTATTGTCTTTTTCTTTTTCTTAATTTGAATTTTTTGTTTTGTTTTGTTTTTAGAAATTCTGGTTATATGTTATCCTACTCTATGGCTTGTTTTGTTTCTGTATGTGTTTTTAAGAAGTCAAAAAAACTTAAATCTGAACCATCGTAATTTACAGCATTGCTTATAACAGTGTCAAATGAATTGGAAATATTAATATGCATAAGGCAAAAAGATGTGTGAATTTTGCCAGGAGGAAGACATGATTGGGAGTCAGAGTGGAATGAAATGGCATGAAGTTAGAAGGTGGTTTTTAAAAAAATAGAAAAAGTAAAACACCAATTAAATATTTGCTCATTGAATGTTTGTGCTGTGTGTTGTGTACTGTGCTACATGTCCAGGGTGCATGCTGTTGCGCTGCAACCTCCTTGGGAGCTTCCCAGGTGTAATCTGAAATTGGCCTTCATACAGGGAAGCCAGGGAGAGTCCAAAGCAAAAGGCAGACCACTCAAAATTTGTAAGTGGCTTTAATAAGCAAGGAAACTTACAGGTGAGGATTGTCTGGGTGGCTGCAAGAGGAGTAGTTTTCTGCACCCACCTACCAAATCTAAAAAGTTTATATTGAGATCCTAACTGGGTCTAGTCATGTACACAGTCCAGATAGTCTCATTACCGCATTTCTATCTCAAGGCTGTGTCTTTGGAGCAGCTTCTGGGAGCAGGGGACGGCAAGTGGCAGCATACATTCCACGCTCAGGGGCAGGTGTGGGAGTCTCTAATCGCTCATGTCTAGCTCATGGGTCCAAGCAGTGGCCTGTCTTCTTGATGACCTTCCCCAACACGTTTGCACAGACCCTGCCTACTTCAGCCCCTTAAGCACCTGGTGTATACTCAGGAATTATTAGCGTGGCTTAGAAAGCCATCAAAGATAGATGAGAAATGAGAAATAGGACAATAGTTGCAGAGGTGGTCGGGCATCGGAGAGTGAGAGTATGAAGAGAAACCTGGAAGAAGAGGATGATCAGAAGGGAAAACAAGGAACCATTGTTGGGCAAAATAAAAAGAATATACTGAAGTCAAAATATGCTGAGACGAAAACTATAGTGGAAAGAAAAGAGCAAAATCAAAAAATCTGATTTCAGTAGGAAGGGAGATAAAATTTACAGTTTGTGAAGTGATATACTAGGAAAAGTCTGAGGAGGGGAAATGGGTATGAGAGTAAGACTGAGTTTTCAGGATTTTTAGGAGGGTGGGTGGGAAGCCCAGGAACCTAAAAGATGTTGGAGTGATTATGTAGGAAGAACACCATATGTGAACATTTCATTTATTCTAAGAGATGCCTGATGAAGGCGTGGATGCCTAGATTTATTTATTTTTTTAGTTTTCTATATCTTTTAAAAATATATTTTATTGATTATGCTATTACAGTTGTCCCAATTTTTCCCCCTTTGCACCCCGTCACCCAGTATTCTCCAGCATTTCCACCCTTAGTTCATGTCCATGGGTCATGCATATAAGTTCTTTGGCTTCACATTTCCTATATTATTCTTAACATCTCCCTCTCTATTTTGTACCTACCAATTTATGCTTCTTAATCCCTGCACCTTTTCCCCCATGCTCTCCCTTCCCCCTCCCAGCTGATAACCCTCCAAATGATTTCCATATCTATGATTCTATTCCTGTTCTGGTTGTTTGCTTAGTTTGTTTTTTAGATTCAGTTGTTGTGAATTTGTTGCCTTTTAATGTTCATAGTTTTGATCTTCTTCTTTTGCTTAAATAAGTCCTTTAACATTTCCTGTAATACTGGCTTGGTGATGATGAACTCTTTTAGCTTTATGTTGTCTGGGAAGCACTTTATCTGCCCTTCCATTCTAACTGAGAGCCTTGCTGGGTAGAGTAATCTAGGTTGTAGGTCGTTGCTTTCATCACTTTGAATACTTCTTGACAGTTCCTTCGTGCCTGAAAAGTTTCTGTTGAGAAATCAGTTGACAGTCCTATGGGAACTCCTTTGTAGGTAACACTCTGCCTTTCTCTGCTTTTAAGATTCTCTCTTTATCTTTTACCTTTGGCTCTTTAATTATGATGTGTCTTTGTGTGGTCCTCTTTGGGTCCAATTTGTTTGGGGCTCTCTGTGCTTCCTGGACTTGTATGTCTATTTCCTTCACCAAACTGGGGAAGTTTTATTTCATTATTTTTTCAAATAAATTTTCAATTTTTCTTGCTCTTCCTCTTCTTCTGGCATCCCTATGATTTGGATGTTGGTACATTGGAAGATGTCCCAGAGGCTTCTTATACTATCCTCATTTTTTTGCATTGCTTTTTCTTCTTGCTATTCTGGTTGAATGCTTATTTCTTCCGTATGTTCCAAATCATTGATTTGAATCCTGGCTTCATCCCCTCCACTGTTGGTTCCCTGTAGATTTTTCTTTATTTCACTTTGTGTAACCTTCAGTTCTTCCTGGGTCTTTTTTATGTTGTCGCTGTATTCAGTGAGGTCTTTGAGTATCCTGATCACCAGTGTTTTGAACTCTGCATCTGATCGGTTGGCTATTTCTGTTTCATTTAGTTCTTTTTCTGGGGTTTTGTTCTGTTCTTTCATTTGGGCCATATTTCTTTGTGTCCTCAATTTGGCAGCATCTCTGTTCATTTCTGTGTATTAGACAGAGCTGCTTTTGACTCCCTATCTTAGTAGCACGGCCTGTTGTAGAAAAGGCACCTGTAAATTGTGTGGGGTGGAGCCTTAGGTAATTACCAGGTTGAGGCAACTCACTTCACTGCTTTGTGGCTCTGTGTGGGGAGGAGGGTTCAGAGAGGGGACAGTGCTGCTGCCTGGTTTCTGGAGGCTTGCCTGGCACTTGCCCTGTTTCCAGTTACTTCACATACTGGTGGCAACTGGTGCTCTTCCAGCTGTTGCCCTGGTGCTGAATCCCAGAGCGGTCTGTGTCCATTCCGAGGTTCGTGTAGGGCAGAGTCTCCTGAAAATCTGACAGTTTCTTTTGCTGCCCCAACCCCTACTGGCCAGAAGTTACAGGGATTTATCGTCCCGGCACTGGAGCACTGCGCTGTGTTGTCCGGCCTGGGGCTGGGATAGCTCACTCCTAAGGCATCCCTCCTGATTTTTATCCATCACAAGTGAATGTGGGACTGCCCGTTCTGCCACTGCCACCTCTCTGTGCCACACCGAGTCCAGGCTTCTCCTCCTATCTTTGTGTCTCCAGACACATGTAGTCTCTGGATAAATGTGGCTTCTTTAAATCTTTGCTTGTCAAACTTCCATATAGCTTGATTTTCTGATGGTTTTGGTGTTATTTGTTTTGAGTCTATAGTAATTCTTTCTGTGGTTGTGTGAGGATGCCAAGCGTGTTTACCTGTGCCTGCATCTTGTAGATTTCTTTTTAAATAGGAAAATACTGTGCAGAATTTTAAAACATATTTTGGCATTAGGCATTAAATCTTTCTTTTCCTCTTCCCATATAATGCGTTTCATGGAAGTAGTAGTAAATAATTGCCAGGTAAGGTTAGGTCATATTAAACGTTGGGCTCCAAGGAGTGAATTAAGCATATTGGGCTCTGTTTGCTATTATTTTTGATCATATGTTTCTCAATGTAAAAATTCACTAAGTTCACATAATAGGATAACTTGACAGCAATATCTCCAGTAAATATTTATTGAATGAACAAATTCATTTTTAAAAATTACTTTTTCTTTGGAGTGTGAAGCTTTTAAGTACAAAGGTTCAAGGCTCTGTTACTAAGGCAGCCTTCTAAATGGAAAAATTGTATTTGTTGTCTTAAATATTTTGGATTCAATAATCTTTTAAAAAAAATCAGTTGATTACTAAATGCCTGTCTCTCTTTTTTCTCCCAGTGGAATGAAACAGTTGAGCTTTTTCGCGCTAGGATGCCCTTACGAAAACATCGCTGTCGGTTCAAAAGTTACGAACATTGCTTCACAGCGGCCGAAGCTGTGGATTGGCTACATGAGCTGCTGAGGTGCAGTCAAAACTTTGGCCCTGAAGTGACCCGTAAACAAACAGTGCAGCTTCTAAAAAAATTCCTGAAGAACCATGTTATTGAAGACATCAAGGGAAAATGGGGTCAGGAAAATTTTGAAGACAATGGTCACCTGTACAGGTAATGGCAAGCAGTAAACTCTGAAGGGGAGGAGTATGGGCAGGGCGAGCGCGTCTGGTCAGAGACTGCTGAGGCTTCCTTCTGCGAAAAAATTTACCTTGTCCCTTGGAGGGATGTTTCTTCTGTGAATCTGTTATAATAAAACCGATTGCAATATTTCTTGACTCCATAGAGCACCCCATAGCAAATCTTTTGTTGAAGTGACTTTTCAGTAAGGAAATCTTTTCTTTCCTTTTGCATACCTGAGAGGAAGGCTACCATAGCCTAGTACTTGTTCCAGGGTATCTGAAAAGGGTTAATTGAACAGTAGCTCTGGGTTGGCCTGTGTGAACAATGAGAAGGTGCATATTCGGGGGGCACTAGTGGCAGAGTGGGTCTGATCTTTAAACAGAGCTCATGGCTCATGTGAATTGTACTAGAATTTCCTGAGGTCTCCGATTAACTCTAGCAATGCATGTATGCTTTTCCTCAGACATTTCGTTCATGTTTCAGTGCTTTTTTTTTTTTTTTTAAATGATTGCACACCACCAGATAATCCAAGGGAAATGGATGCCTCTCTGCTCAAACTTCCACACCCACTGCTTGCTAGGCTGTTATTGCAGGAGGTGGAAGGGACCTGTGAAGACTCAGGCAAGTGGGAGAGGCCTAGGGGAGTGAAGTCTTATGAGTTGAGAAGAGAGGAATTGTTGCGTTATCTACAGAGAGGCTTACCAAGGAGCTAAGAAACTGAGAGGGATTTAAAAAAAAAAAAAAAAAAAAAAAAAGGAAACTATGGACTCTTAATACTTGTTTTCTTTTATTCCAGAAAAGTGAGGAATTGACTCTCCATCTATATTCAAATCTAGTCTTCCTCTAGCTCCTAATCTCTTTTATTATAGTTTAATTAAGATAATTTGGGCGCTGCTGGGATACCTGGGTCTGAGTAGAGAAAACCTGACTCTTTCCAACCTGAACCATTTCTTTGGCTTCTTTGAGACCAGCTGCTGAGCAAGGCTGCAGAGTGAGAGAGTGCCAAGGCCAAGACCAGACATTGCTGTATGTTTAGAATCTAATTTCCTCACAGGGTTTCATCAGCAGTCTTTAGCTTCTAGATATCAATTAGTTGTTTCTCCATTTGGCAGTTATTTCTGGCTTGCTGATCCAACTTTTAATTAGGATCATGTGTGATTTTAGCCTATTCTGAGACCATAGTGCTTATTAGCATCAGTCTGCAGAAACTCTAGCCCTAGCTGCGCGTACCATGCTTCATTGGGGATTCTGCGGTGATTCTCTCTCTTGGGACACTCTAATTGCTTGTACCCCATCAAGATTTAGCCAGCACACTGCTAAAAGATTCTCTGGATGAACAACTTCGGTCTGTTCTATTGTGACCTTAAATTGAGTACCTCTCATTGAATTCCATGAGGCTTTAAGAGTCATCAGATCTGGAAAATAGGGTCATGTTCTAGGAGCCAACCACCCAGCACTGACTGAGAACATGTTCACTTCAATATAAAGACTTCCTCATGTTTCCCCTTTAAAAAACAGAATGTACACTTTAAATTCATCCATGGAATAATGATTCCCCAGCCCCCAATTTCTCTTACAGAATACTCGTGGGTTATAAAGGGAACAGTATTTTCTTTCATTATTTATGACCTGAAAACTCATCTTTCCCTTTTTCTGAGTGGAAGTTGTATAAGTTAACTCCTAATGTTTGATGTTCTCAGATTATCTGGGACGAAATCTATGTAGACAGGTAGATCACTTGTTTAGGAGCACGCGCCTTGAAGTGAGAGTAAGCCAATGAGCGTGGAGACAGTTGTTACATGCATATAGCTTTTGGGACTGGTGCTCAGGATCATCTATTTCCAGTCCTGCTCGCGGTCCAATAGTGCTATAGCCAAATTATAAAGAAGGCTGAGAAGGGGGATTAGGGGTTGGGGTTGGGGGCCAATTAGGTTTGAGAAGAGATGGAAAGTCAATAAGGTGAAGAAATTCCAGAATGTGCTTCTAAAGACCAGGCTTTATGGAAGAGGAGCCTTTATAAGAGGTATCAAGAAGGCTGGAATGTACAGCTGAGAGTTCTTGCTGGGAAGAAAGGAATGAAACTTCTAGAACATCTATGATGTGCCAGGCTTTTTGCCTAATTGTCATTTAACTCAACATCTGTAGCTGTAGGGGTAACCTAATTTTAAAGATTAGGGAATTAACAAGGCCAAAGTTACTAACTTCTCCAAAGTTAACTTGGCTAGTAGTGGGAGTGTCAGGATTTGAACTGAGGTCTCTTTCTCAAACCTGTGCTCTTGTGGTAGGGCACATAGCCTCCATTTTCTCAATATGAGGTTGACTTCCTTTTTAAATAAATTAGTGAATGAGTAAACACACAGAATAATAAACAAGAGACATTTGGTGTAGTCAACACATGCTTATATAGTCAACACATGTTTATATATGCACAGAATTCTAGTAATGTATTAAGTAATATGTAATACGTATTAAACGATCAGCTGTCTTCAAGAACTTATCACATAAAGGAGGTAAGGTAAACATAATCACCCTACATATTATGTAAAATTGCAGGGGGTAGGTGGTTTCCTGGATCTTGGATTACAGGAAGATATAGTTAGAGAAAGCTATGTGAAATATAAAGGCTCTTGTAGTGTTTTTTAAAGACAGATTATATACACACATAACAAAGATGATGAGTTAAGCTTTTATTTTGGAATGCATCAAATTTTATTTCTAGTTTAAAAAAAAAGTATGTCATGCTTGTTCTGTGACGGATTGCATTTACATTTGTTAACCATGACTCCTTTTCTCAAGAATCAAAGAGCTAAGTATAGCCCTAGCTACTCTGGCTCAGTAGATTGAGTGCTGGCCTGCAAACCAGAGGGTCACCGGTTAAATTCCCCATGAGGATACATGCCTGGGTTGCAGGCCAGGTCCCCAGTTGGGGGTATGCGAGAGGCAACAAATCATGATACCCAGTTTTTTTTAAGAAAAGATTTTATATATTTATTTTCAGAGAGAGGGGAAGGGAGGGAGGGAGAAAGAAGAGAAACATCGATGTGAGAGAGAACTATCAATTGGCTCCCTCTTACTATACTTGTCCCGATCTGGGACTGAACCTGCAACCCAGGCCTGTGCAGGGACCAAGAATCAAACCCATGACCTTTTGCTTTGTGGAATGACACCCAAACAACTGAGTTACACTGGCCGGGGCCATGCTACCCAGTTTTAAGATTTATTATACATAAAGCCATCCATAGTAAATGAAGACTGTTGTGTTGGTGAAGGGATAGACATAGATCAGGGGAACAGATGAAGGGTCCAGAAACATACACAAATATGGCCAGTTGATTTTTGACAAAGATGTAAGAAGGTGTAAAAGTAATTTGAAGGAAAAAGAGTTGCCTTTCCAGTAAGTAGTGTTGGAACAATTAGATATTTATCTTCTATATGCAAACAAAATGAACCTCAACCTCTTATCTTATACAAAAAATTAAAAATGAATCATAGATTTAAATGTAAAACTACAAAATTTTAATTAAAAAGGAGAAAATCTTTATGCCCTGGGGTTAGGTAAAGGGTTCTTAATTATGATACCAAAAGTGTGGTTTATAAAAGAAAAAAATGATAAATTAGACTTTATCAAAATTAAAGACTTTGCCCTGTTACACAGGATACTATTAAGGGGATGAGAAGACAAGCTACATATGGGGATCTGGAAACCACCTAACTGACAGTGGACTGGTATCAAGAATATATAAAGAACTCACAAAATTTAACAGTAAGAAAACAAACAACCCAATTTAAAAAATGAACAGAACGCTTGAACAGGCACTTCACCAAAGATAACCAGATAACATAAACATTTGAACAAATGCTTAACATAGCATTAGGGAAATGCAAATTAAAATCATGGCAAGATACCACTACATACCTATCAGAATGGCTACAATAAAAATACTGACAATATCAAGAGCTAATGAGGAGGCAGAGCAGTTGGAAGTCTCATTTATTGCTGATGGGATGCTTAGATTGGTAGCTAGAAAACAGTTTGGCAGGATTTTTAAAAAGTTAAATGTATGCATGTGCTATGACTCAGTATTTTTGTCCCTGGGCATTTACCCTAGAAAAATAAAAACTTAATGTTCACACAAGCACTTATATATTAATATATATAGCAGCTCCATTAATAATCGCCAATAGCTAAAAACAGCCCGAATGTTCTTCAGTGGATAAGTGGGTAGCTATGGTATATCTGTACTGTGTGTTGGGGAGGGGGATGTGACTATAGTGTCAGACCAGGAGAGAGTGTTTTGTTGGGGCATATTGGAACTGTACTGCTTCCTGACTGGTGGTTAAATACAGGTGCTAAAATCGATAGAACTATACACCAAAAAAGAAAATAAAAGAAAAAAGAAAAGAATATCGCTTTTAGTATATACTAATAACATTTTTTTTTTTTTTTAGTGCTGGACATTTAAAAAGCCTCTATTTGTGTGTCTAGTGAAAGGAATCTGAATTGACATTGGTTTAGGTATGTGGCCCGTTAGTAATTTTCAGTGGCCTGGGGAAAATTCTTTATTACTCCTCTATAGATCATTTGAAGGGAACTGTTTTTGGAACCTCACTTTAAAGTTAATGGACTGCTGGTTCCCTCTAGTGGACATCCTTTGTATTAATAGTCAAGCTCAGGATGTGTGCCTGTGCTTTTTTTTTTCTTGTTTTTATTTCAAGTCTTAGGTTCTTGTCCTGTAATAGTTGGATAAGTTCCTTAGCCTTCCTAAGCATGAGTTTTTTTAATCTATAAAATGACAGGGGTTGCCCTGGCCAGGTAGTTCAGTTGGTTGGAGCCACGTCCCATACACCAAGGTTGCGGGTTAGATTCTAGTCATGGCACATACCTAGGTTGTGGGTTTGATCCCTGGTTGGGGCACATATGGAAGACAACCAATAGATGTTTCTTCTCCTGTCCTCTCTCTCTAAAATCAATAAATATATCCTTGGGCAAG